ACAGACAGGTGGTCAGACAGACAGGTGGTCAGACAGACAGGTGATCAGACAGGTGATCAGACAGACAGGTGGTCAGACAGACAGGTGGTCAGACAGACAGGTGATCAGACAGACAGGTGGTCAGACAGACAGGTGATCAGACAGGTGATCAGACAGACAGGTGGTCAGACAGACAGGTGGTGATCAGACAGGTGATCAGACAGACAGGTGGTCAGACAGACAGGTGATCAGACAGGTGATCAGACAGACAGGTGGTCAGACAGACAGGTGATCAGACAGGTGATCAGACAGACAGGTGGTCAGACAGACAGGTGATCAGACAGGTGATCAGACAGACAGGTGATCAGACAGACAGGTGTCCTGGTCTCACCTGTATGTGAGTGTCTGCAGGTTCCTGCTGTAGCAGCTGGCGAGCCACAGTGTCCTCTCTGTCAGGACGTGAGGACACTGAGAGACAGACAGGTGGAGGAGACGTCCCCCTGCAGAGCAGAGCAGAGCCTCCAGCCCCGCCTCCACGCCCCCTCTGATGGACACATCATCACCATCATCATCATCACCATCATCACCATCATCATCATCATCATCACCATCATCATCATCATCATCATCATCACCTGTGGACCAATCAGAGCTGGAGGCTGTTTCCATTACAAGTTTCATTTTCAAGATAAGTTTTACATTTTCTTCAACCTGAGAGTTAATCCCACTGAGCTGCTCTTATATGTTTGTTTGTTTATCTGTTTACAGTTCTGTAAACAACAACAACAGCAGAGTATTTCTGTTACCGTGTGCTTTTGTGGTAATCCTCTCTCGTCTCGTCGGCTCGACGGCTCCGAGGTTTCAGGTTGTTCAGGATCACAGACTGGGTCTGAGTACACCACTGAGACAGGGTGGTCAGGAACTACACAGAGAGTACACAGAATACACAGAGAGTACACGGGGAGTACACAGAGAGTAGACAGAGTACACAGAGAGTACACAGAGTACACAGGGAGTACACAGAGTACACAGGGAGTACACAGAGAGTACACAGGGAGGAAAAAGAGAGTACACAGGGAGTACACACAACTGATTAAAGTTCGGAGTAAACTTGATTCAAGATGGCCGCCTCAGAAGCAGCTGAACTTGTTGGTTCTCAGTTACTGATTATAAAAGAAAAATTAAATGTTTTGTTTCAGATCTTTAAAAAAGAAAACAAAGTGAGGAAGATGACTCCTCTACCTCTGCAGACACTCGAGCGTTCTCCAGTCGGAGGCGTGTCCAAACCGCTGGGTGCCTGGCAACAAACCGCCAATCAGCGCACACCTCAGCGGCGCGCAGCAGCGAGCGCACGTCCAAATACGGGAAGATGCAGAAAAGCCCCGCCCTCATCCTCTGGGTGTTTGCTACAAGCGTTGGCTTATCGCCGTGACGGCGGGAGGGGGTGGAGCCAAGGGAGGAGGGCGTGTCTGGGAAGATGGAGACAAAAGATGAACTTTTATTTTGAAACAACAGGAAGTGGCTTAAACTGCAAGAAAAAAGGGACAAGAGGAGTTGAACTTTCACCTGATCCAGGTGTGTCGATTCTGGCAAAGATGAGCCTCTTCAACTCAGCTCTGCTCCACAAACTCTCCTCCTCTTCCTCCTCCTCTTCCTCCTCGGTGCTGTGGTGACGAAGGTTTCTTTTACTCCACGTTCTCCCCCATCCCTCCTCCTCCACCCTGAAACACAAAAACACAGACGGTCTTCAGACGGACATGTTGGAGTCCTCCAAAGTTCTGAGACTGGAGGTCCACCTTCCAGTCATAGGTCCTGGAATGGTCCAGTTAAAGGTCCTGGAATGGTCCAGTTAAAGGTCCTGGAATGGTCCAGTTAAAGGTCCTGGAATGGTCCAGTTGAAGGTCCTGGAATGGTACAGTTAAAGGTCCTGGAATGGTACAGTTAAAGGTCCTGGAATGGTACAGTTAAAGGTCCTGGAATGGTCCAGTCATAGGTCCTGGAATGGTCCAGTCATGGGTCCTGGAATGGTCCAGTTAGAGGTCCTGGAATGGTCCAGTTAAAGGTCCTGGAATGGTCCAGTTAAAGGTCTTGGAATGGTCCAGTTAAAGGTCCTGGAACGGTCCAGTTAAAGGTCCTGGAACGGTCCAGTTAAAGGTCCTGGAATGGTCCAGTTAGAGGTCCTGGAACAGTCCAGTTAAAGGTCCTGGAATGGTACAGTTAAAGGTCCTGGAACAGTCCAGTTAAAGGTCCTGGAACGGTCCAGTTAAAGGTCCTGGAATGGTACAGTTAAAGGTCCTGGAACAGTCCAGTTAAAAGGTCCTGGAACGGTCCAGTTAGAGGTCCTGGAATGGTCCAGTTAAAGGTTCTGGAATGGTCCAGTTAGAGGTCCTGGAATGGTACAGTTAAAGGTCCTGGAATGTTCCAGCCATAGGTCCTGGAATGGTCCAGTTATAGGTCCTGGAACGGTCCAGTTAGAGGTCCTGGAATGGTCCAGTTAAAGGTTCTGGAATGGTCCAGTTAGAGGTCCTGGAATGGTCCAGTTAAAGGTCCTGGAATGGTCCAGTCATAGGTCCTGGAATGGTACAGTTAAAGGTCCTGGAACAGTCCAGTTAAAGGTCCTGGAATGGTCCAGTTAGAGGTCCTGGAATGGTCCAGTTAGAGGTCCTGGAATGGTCCAGTTAGAGGTCCTGGAATGGTCCAGTTAGAGGTCCTGGAACAGTCCAGTTAAAATCCAGACCTCGGACCATCTGATCTGAAGTCTGGTGGACACCAACCTGAAGGTTCTGCAGACATTTGGACATAAAAATGGACCAAMCATCAAACTGGACAATGTTTGACAAACGTTACATCATTCTGTGGAAATGAAGACGTCAATGAAGCGATCAGGAAAATAAAAACTTTATAAATGTTACAGATCARTAAAAAGTTATTTTATATCTTCAGAGGATAAGCTCCGCCCACTGCTGGCTGTCAGAAACAGTTCACGTACCAGACCCGGTCCCCTCCTCCTCCTCTCCCGGGTCGGGCCCAGGATGTCGCGCAGTGGGAGGGGTGGGGGTCCCAGACCCCAGAGCCCAGAGACAGGGTCCGCATGTGTTCAGTCAGAGCGCTGGAAGAGACGACCCGGTTCAGGTTCTGGTTCTGTTTCAGGCTACAGAACTTTTTTGTTGGAACCTAAACAGTCAGGTACCTGCAGTGACGGTGGGTCTGAAGCTCTCCGAGTCCAACAGAACCTGAGATGCTGTAGCTTCTCTGGAAAACACAAGGTCAGAAATTCAGTTGTGTTAAACCTGATTTACTGGGTTCTGGTCTCGGTTCCGGTTCCCCCACCCTGTTTCCGACGGCTTCCTGCATCCTGTGGATGATGATGTCATCAACAGATCCGTCCAGGCTCCGCCCCCCTCGTCCAGGTCCGAGYGAGAACTCCTGCGGTGAGAACGGGTCGAGGTACGCGCGGTCGTCGCATGTGAAGAGGTTCTGACTGAGCAGCAGCCGCTCGGCCCGGTCGGCCCGGTCCAACAGAGTCTCGATGAAAACCTGCGGTCAGAACAAACAATGAGCTCGTGTCTCTAAACCGGGTCGGAACCAGGAGGTCTGCTGGTACCTGCAGTCTGGATTTGGCTTCAGCTTCTTTTTGGGCTGTTGTCCTCAGATAGAGCTCGACTTCAGCCATTTCCCTGTGAGACACACAATCACAGTTACACAAATACACAATACACAATACACACATACACAATCTGACAGGATTACTGCTCAAATACACAATGTGACAGGATTACTGCTCAAATACACAATGTGACAGGATTACTGCTCAAATACACAATCTGACAGGATTACTGCTCAAATACACAATCTGACAGGATTACTGCTCAAATACACAATCTGACAGGATTACTGCTCAAATACACAATCTGACAGGATTACTGCTCAAATACACAATCTGACAGGATTACTGCTCAAATACACAGAGTCACAGAAAACATCTGGATATTTAAGGAAGTTGGAATAAAACACATGATTTAACCCATTTTGTCACATAACTGTTATATTTTCTTTTAAACTTGGCTCAGCCGAAGTGAAACAGGAAGTGACATCAGAAGGGATCTAACAAATAAAACTCTCTGGTCTTTGTTTATTGAAACATTAATATTTAAACTTTAACTCCTCTTCATCTCTGATAGAAACTGAAAATAATCTACAGAAACATCAGATCATTCTCTACAGTCTGTTAGCTGTTAGCAAAGCTCTGTTTACATTCCCCTCTGACATCACTTCCTGTTACTTCACAGACAAATAACTCAACAACTGTTCGTCTCAGTGACATGAAATTTATTTTCCAATATTTTATCAGTGTCTTCTTTCTAAAAATACATTCACATGTGTTACAAAAATTTGACGTGACAGGCACTTTAATTATTAAATTATTACTTATCATCTCATCCAGCCGGGGGCAGTAGAGCTGTGCTTGAACAATAATGGTAACTACATTCTGTTCAATTATAAAAATAAATACATTTATAAACACTTTTGAAGAAATATAATCCAAACATTTTCTGAGCAGAACCAACAATCTGAARAAAGCACAATGGTTTGACACGTCTCAGATAATCTGATCTGCATGTTTTAATCTGAGCAGACACCTGAAGGTGTCTGCTCAGATTAAAACATGCAGATCAGATTATCTGCATGTTTTAATCTGAGCAGACGCCTTCAGGCCTCCAGGCCACTGAGCCTCTCTGTCATCCTGCATCTCTATCATCAGATAAGTGTGTCAGCGAGACGCTAACAGAACCGGACCTGTCCTCAGCTGGACTCCCATCCTCTCAGAACCCTGGACTTTACAATTAAATAACATAAATAAAGTTTAGTCACATTTATGTTCCTGCAGCGTTAGCCTTTTCTGCTTTCATCCTGTAAATATCTGCTTCCAGGAGAACATCCTGGARCWGTTCTGGTTCTGTGACGTYCAAACCAGCGTGGGTCTCTATGCCYCCTGCTCCCAACATGGAGGTCACYGGAGGCGGGGCTTMAATCTTTCATCTTAAACACCACAGAACCAACCAGACCTCTGCTATATGCCCATCAGGAAGAATACGGTTGATTTATGAGCGCGTTTATTASCTCTAAGGCACATGTGKCAAACTCMAGGCCCGCGGGCCAAATGTGGCCTGCAAGAACTTAAACATGTTAATGTCTTTAAAATAAACCTGTGCTCCTTTAAAGTCAGCATGTCACATTCGTTATGTAATTTCTCTTTGGGATCAATCCCTAAACTACATTTCCCATAATGCATGTTGGTTATTTGACCTGCTGAGTGATGACACACCCACCACTGGGTGGAGCCACACAGGGCTCAAAAGCAGCCAGTGAAGGTTGCCAGTTAAAATCTCAATTTTGCTGCATTGATTGTCGACTACTTTTGGTGCAGTTGTACTGGGAAGTGGGAAAATCCCACTTACATGTGGTAAATTTAAACTGTAATCCCCCTCCAGTGGGAAAGCCCTGGCAGAAAGTGGGAAAGTGGAAACTCCTGTTTTCTTCCAGGTTGCCTTCAGGCCTCCCTAAAAACAGTTCTGTGATCTTGATGGGATTTACCTGGTTAAATCAAAGTTAATAAATAAAATGTGTTTTTTATTTAACTTATTTTAATAATTAAAGATACTAACTGCTGCCGTTCACTCAGCTCCTTCTCCTTTTCTGTCAGATCCTCCTTTAATCGCTCCATCAGCTCCACAGCAGCCGAYACCTGCAGGAACAATAAATAACTGTTCATTCATAAAATATACACAATCCTGTCAGAAAACCAGTTTATGTGGGATTATTTTTCTACTGAATGCACAGAGTTTGAGGATGCTAAAATAACCTTTTAACCATCTAAACTTTCTAAACTCTTTTTATTTTTGATTCTACAGTTTACATCTAAACACAGATATTTTTGTTTTATTTTACCACCTGTTTGTTTGAGGCTTATTTTTTAGTCTGCAGTTTTTCTCAGCTTGTCTATAGCTGCTTTTCCATTGACCATGAAAATGTGCAAATTAGAATTTTTTTAAATTTTTGCTTGATGGAAACGTCAATTTCGAAAAATGTATGTTTTTCGACAAAATGTGTTTTTTTTTTTGCCGTATCAAAATTTGTGTTTTTCGCAAAACTGCAATGGAAACACGTTTTTCATATCACAGGAGTCATGTGA